CTGGGATGAGGCCCCTATGCAGCATAGACATGCATTTGAGTCAGTGGATAGAACCTTGCGTGAGATCATGGACAAGGATGTACCATTTGCAGGCATCACTGTAGTATTTGGTGGAGATTTTCGTCACACTCTTCCTGTTGTCTTCAAAGGCTCCAGACCTCATATTGTGGCTGCTTCCCTGCGCAGGTCACATTTGTGGAGACATATGCAGGTGCTTCACTTGACACAGAACATGAGATTAGAGAACAGTCCTGCCAGCCAAGACTTTGCAAAGTGGCTTCTGAAAGTTGGTGCTGGAAGCAATGTGTCTCCACAAAAGACAATCCAATTGCCTCAGAACATGAAGCTCCAGTCCAACACTTTGGATGGCTTGATAAATGTTCTATACCCAGGTCTCAGTGAGGGTGAGAAGCCTGATGAGTATTTCCTGCAGAGAACTATCCTCTCTTCCAAAAATGATGCTGTTGATCATATCAACTCTGTTGTTTTGGATAAGTTCCCAGGGGAGAAAGTCACATTGGCATCTGCAGACAAAGTCATTGGAGATGAGAACATCCATTATCCTATTGAATATCTCAACTCTATCAATGTGTCAGGCCTTCCATTGTCTAAGCTTGAGCTAAAGAAAGGGTGTCCTCTCATGCTCTTGAGAAATCTTGATCCCAGAAATGGACTATGCAATGGACAAGAATGATTCTCATGGACATCAAGCAAAGGGTCCTAAAATGTCGAATTTTGGGTGGCATTCATAGTGGCAAGGAAGTCTACATTCCCAGAATTAGCATTGAACCATCAGCTGAGGATTTGCCAATCCCATTGAGCAGAAGATAATTCCCTGTTCGTCTTGCTTTTGCTATGACTATCAATAAGGCTCAAGGGCAGTCAGTGGTCAATGTTGGACTTGATCTGCGTACAGCAGTCTTTGGTCATGGTCAACTCTATGTTGCTCTTTCCAGATGTACATCTGCAGACAGGATCAAAGTCCTATTTCCTGTAGACCAAGACAACACTAACACTGCCAATATTGTGTATCCTGAGGTGCTCATTCCTACTGTGTATGTCATTTCCAATTTTCTTTGGAAAATACTAACTCACATGTCTTCAACAGCCCCCAAGTCTAATGTATCCCATGTAGTATTTGTAGTGATGTCTATATATTGAACAATTGTTTTCTCATCAGAATAGGATAATGTTATACTCTGATATTCACTTTTATTAATTGTATGAAATTACTACTATGATATCAAGCACTTACATCCGACATTGAATGGACTGATGAATATGTATCCAAGGATGTAATGTTCAGAGTAACATGAAGCACAGAGTGAAAGAATTGCTGCCAGACCTGTGGCGAAGCCCAGGTCTGGCAGGCCCAAACATGTAATCTTAGGGGCAATATGGTGCACAGAATGAAAGAACCGCCACCAGACCTGTGGCGAAGCCCAGGTCTGGCATGCATTAACATTGTGATCTTATGGGTGACATGAAGCAGTGAATGAAAGACTTCGCCACGGGCTGACGACACTCGTTTTATGTAGCTAAAAGGCTGTGCATAAAAGGAGCATCCCTATGAGCAAGTCCAAACATTTATCTCATCTACCACTTGCTTCTGTACTCTTATGCCAGTGTACCTTCAATTCATCAGTGATCAATCCTGCCCATGACTCTATCAGTCTTGATGGCACTTACTATGGTGATACATTGCTTCACATTGTACTACATGAGCCCATTACTATTGACTCAGGAGCTGAGCTCCAATCCAGTAACATACCTTAGTATGGCTTTGTACTACTGCTCAGTGTCTGGTAACTGTTCACTTATGGTGAGAGCAAACTGCACATTCTTTGGTTGTATTCCTTGTATAACACATCAATTCTTGACAGGCCTTTTTCAGAATTCCTTACTGGTATACTTCTCCTCTGTATATTGGTTCCATCCTCCACTGTTGATTGGTTTGTACTTGGGGAAGTATTGTTAACAATCTACTGAAAGACATCCTTTGGTATCAGAATTTCTCTGATCAAGGGCTAATACTTGTACAACAGCACTGACAGCAAGTCCCAACTGAGTAGTAGTTACTGTAGTCAACCCCCCAGATTCCCCTTCCTTGAGTTCTAGTTGATCTAGAGGCTCTCCTTACTTCTTTGCAACATTCCCAAGCTATTTGCTCTATGTAACTATCAATACAAACCAGTAACACTGCTCATTAGTATTCAGATCATATTGATAAGCAACTTGGCAATTTACCAAGTAAGAAACAGATCCATAATGTCTGTTGCTCATGATTGCAAGCTATGATCCTCATATTACAACAACCTAATAAATTAGCAGGCTACTCTGAAGTGCAAAATGTGGAAGATATGTCAGTACTCTATGCATAGACAATATACTAGCAGTCTTGCCAAGCATGACTTCTGATGTGGGCAGCATGAAGTTGTTCATAAATTGACATGTATCCTACCAAAGGGATTGTACTGCCAGCTATGGCCCTCTCCCCAGCAAGTGCCTACTATCAATGGTCATGCTCTCTGATCATAAGTCCAAGGATTTCTATATCTTCAGACATACTCCCAAGATAATCACCAGTGTCATTTTCTGGCTGACTGTTCATTATTTTGTGGGCACATACAATGTATGGTACTATATTTGGATTAGACACTATATTTTTCATGTTGACATTCCTTGGGCATGGCAGATACCACCCAGGATCAACTGCCAAATGGTGTACTGGTAGGCACACTGCCACATATTTCCAATGCTGTTCAAATATCACACATGTTCACACCTGGGTCTAAAGTGTTATTTTTCCACTTTCCATATAACATGAAAGGACCCAACATGAGTAGCTGATATTTTATCATCACATGTAAAAGGAAACAGTTGCAGCAAATGAGAGTACTCCCAAAGTCATATTATTGACTAGAGATCCATAAAAGGACAGCCATATATTGGCTCAGAAGTCCATTGTAATATGGCCTCTTCACTGTTGCTTAGTAAGCAATGCAAGTCTGCATTATTTCCATGGCAACCATGACTTCTTCTGAGCCCAATCAGGAAGAAATCACAGCATAGACTGCAATATGAGTGATAGTAGACATTGCACAAACAGACACCACTGTCAATACATTTTTGCCCATATGAACAAGCCAAGAGCTGCCTATTCTATCTTCACATACCAAGGGCTAGTGCATTGCATGGGTATGAGTAACCCATGTGGGTCATGGGTATGGGTATGCATGGGTATGGGTATGGGTAGCCAAAATCTGACCCATGTACCCATGAAACCCATGGACTTCTGCAGTGCTTATCCACTGGCAGTAATCAATGTTAATTCCTAGCCAGGTATTCAGTGTTGTGTCACTCTCATAGTATGCTAGCATTTAGGGTATCACCTTTCTGAAGCTTGCTTGAAAGTATTTTGCAATAGTGGCAGTATGGTAAAGTCACCAGTCATTTTTCCCTCAAGACTCATTGACCATGCATGACATGGCTTTTGCCAATATTGATATGCTATAATCAAACACACAGATTGCTGAGGCCATCAAATAAGCAAATGAAATATCTAATGTGCATTGCAGTGTATGTGCTGTTGTGGCTCAAATGAAGAATTAGGAGAAAGCTCAACTAACCTTTTCAATGCACAATGATTACTGCAGTGCCATGTGTTTGTCAGTATGGTGTAGCTGGGATGCTCTACCAAACAATGTGACCATACTGAATCCTACTTACTTTAAAGCTGTCCTTGTTAGACAGCTGGTAATACTGTGTAATGCTTAGTTGGTCACCTGTGACAAGGGATCCTGATGGAAAAGAAATCAGCATGATTGCTATGTCACAAACACATTGAGATGGGCCTATATGCTTGTCGCACCAGCAGTACATACCTATGAGGTAGTGTTCATGCCTTGTTGGTCAATTCAATAAATTCAAGGTGCTCATGGAATGGTATTGACAGCGGCCACATGACCACTCAGATGACAAACCTTCTCAACATAGAGTAGGGCCTATATGCACCACTTAACAATTGGCAAGCTAAGCTCAATGAAACTGCCTTTTGGCATAGTCATTGACAGGCCTTGCCCCTTATTGATGCTATATTGGTGAAAAAGTAATGAAATGTGGGGATCCTGTGATGATATTGCTTAATAATCCTGATATGACTCTCTTCCCACAGGCTGTTATATGTGAAAGACACTGCTGGTATTGATGGAGCACTGCTACATCTTTCCTGTGATTCAGTTGTGTAGTTGTTGAGTCTGAGGTATATTTATCTGCTGACTGTTGACCTGTGATACTGCTATATGTAAACAGCACATGTTATAAGGCTCTGCCCATTGCCTCACTGTTCATATTTGGTAAAATATGTAAGATCTATGGATGTATACAACCTTGCTAGTTTCAATCCTCAGTTCTTGTGGGTCTGTGTAGCTATTTGTACTGTTATGACACACTTGTGTAACCACCAGAGTTATGAGTTGTAATACATACCTTGCTTCCATGATCTTTGTGCCTTGTTTACATTGTTTTCCCTTTTTGTCAGTTGTTCATCTTTGCCTATCCTGTATTACCTGCCCTTCAGTTCTTACTTCAGGCAACACACTTGCCCATTCTATTGTAGTTTAACAAGTGAGCATGACATGCAACAACACTACAAGTCTACAACTTGGAAAAAGGTACACCCCTGTGTATTGCTATGTTTGACTTTGATACACCAAACCTTGCTTTGACCCCTCCCATACCCACTCATGTTTCTATTGTTCTTGCATGTATGTGGGACAAAAACTGGAAACTCCCACTGTTGTGATTGACCACACAGTCAGTGAACTGGTCTGAGGGGTGCTCATCCTTGGTCTTGCACATAGCATCAATTTATGATGAGAATTCACCAACTGTACAGTGCCTGATTGATATTCTGGCCTCTGCACAATAAGTGTCATCATATCTTGCAAGCCATTGAGCATGAACTGCACATAGGACTACCCATAACATTACCCATACCCATGTGGGTATGGGTATGGGTATGCTCTGAGACACCCATGGGTACACCCATGCTATGCACTACTGTCTACAAAGGAGCAGAAGCAACTCCAGGCGCTGCTCAAGAGACAGTCCGTTCAGAAGCAGGACAAGGAAGAGGAACGTCAGGCTGGTGAGTACGGTCCGCACAGCTCTCGAAAACATCACCTGAACACATCCTTATTCCGACTCAGGGTTGCACAAGGGCGGCGACTATGACTCGCGAGGAAGTTCAAGGATCAGACGCTGAAGGTGAGGAGCCGTCCCGTAAGAAAGCAAGACACACTACGGATTCCGATGGTGAGGGCGGTGGCGACGCGGGTTCCAATGGCGAGGGCGGGGGTGATGAAGGAAGCGAGCCAGACGGTGGTAGCGAGCGGGACATACGAATGGAGAGCCCTTCTCCCCCTGCTCGGCGTACGTGCAAATTCATTAGTTCAGACGGTCCGACACTGACATATCAATTGAGCTAAACCAAAGCCAGCTTACGGGCGGTACAAGAAGGCCAAGCAGGACTCAGGGAAGGGAAACACATTGTTGACTGAGGCGGAGCAGCGTATCGCACAGACTCTCAGCGGTAAGTTACATTGTAAACTACGGGTTCAGATCATGGCTAATGTCTTTTTGTATGCTCTAGCGAAGGGCAAGGCTAAAGGCAAGCCTCCATCCAAGAAGTCGGTGGTAGTCGAGAGCCCGCGGGAGGTTTCTGAAGAGGAACATGCGTCCGTTTGCTCGGGAATCGGAAGAGGAGGATAGGACGAGGCGAGGGGAGATGGACAAGCAGAGCGAGAAGAGGAAGGATGTGCGTGGCGGGAAGAAGGCCTACGTGGAGATCAGGGTAGACAAGGTGAGTATCATATGTTCTGCGAACTTGACAGCCTGACATATTCGTCAGTCCCCGTCACAGAAAAAGAAGGCAGCAAAGAGCAAGATGGTCGTCTCCAGTTCGGACGAAGACCAAGACGACGATAAGGTCAATGAGCTCGAATCTTCGGACAATGACAGGAGCTCCAGGATCCGGATGAAGGGCACGGGCAGTGACGACTCGGACGACCCAGATCATGCGTCCGACTCAGACGATGTCATGGTAAGTGTTGCTTGCATTTGATGTGGTGCGGTACTACTAATACAGTACGTAGGAGATTGCTCAGAAGGGAGCAAAGAAGAAGCCCAGAGGCAAGGGCTCAGTAGTGGTTCATGTGCGCATCAGGTCCTCAGACCTGCCCATCTATGTCCGTCCCATTGTTGCCGCTGCTCAGAGCTTCCTCCGCCTTCGTCTCACACTCGAGATGGCATGGACCAGCTACAAAGCCGCGCCCAGTTCCCGGCTGCAGGACAACATGGGCCTCGTTGTCCTCGCCCTGAAGGACGCTTGTGATATGTGTGACAAGGACGGTAAAAGGGTGAAGACTATGAGGACCGCATACACCGATCTGAAGGAAGCGAAGGGAAAGGAGGGAGACATTACGAGGAGAAATGTACACACAGTGGTAAGTGATGGACGTTGGTGTGAACATTATGACTTGCCTTCATTCTCAGCAGATCTGGAATGTGGCGGCTCAGTTCCGGAACGAGGTAAAGAAGAAAGGCAAGAGCGTGGTAGAACACTCGTACGGGCTGAGCAACCTGACGGTCACGCAACGTGTATTGCTCCCCCAGTGGCTCCTCAAAACTCACCCAATGAAGGTCAAAGGCAGCAAGCGTGAGATCCCGAACTTTGTGTTCGGTGACATGAAGATTGCCTGGAACACCAAGGATAAACTGGACAAAGAGGTACGTACTATCTGGCTAGACGTGTTTGCGGCGCGTTGTTGCATCAAGATATCTGCTAATCTTGACGGCTAGAAATGCTCTGTCAAGTCAGAGCGTCTGTTCAGGCATCCGGCGATCTCTGAGATCATCGTGCAGCAGTGGTTCCCGGGTTAGGGTGCCAGCATGGCCGTTGACCACTTCAGCGAGGTCACAGATAACCTCATTGCATTGGTCTGCAACTCAGTGAGTCTTGGATGTATCGCAGGTCTTCTCAATATTGAAATCTTGCTTCAGATCGAAGCAGCATTGAGCGAGATAGCGTTCGGGAACCCCGTTGCGTTCACGAACAAGCATTTCGCACCGAAGTAAGTAGTTCTCCGCACCTTTATGCAACATTGACCATTGAATTTTCACTAGGTGGGACGATCTCATGTCCATCCTCGAAGCTACGAAGAGAAATGCGCCTGACTACTACGCTGACATGAAGAAGCAGTTGTGGAGGCGCGTCAGGTAAGTGCACATTCAAGACCTAAGCTACTTACTGAATTAAGTCTGGCAGTGCCCGAATTGAGGGCGATGATCAGGAAGATTCCGACCAGGACGACAGTGAGGACTTCGTGAAGTGGAACAAGCTTCAGGACATGGTGCTCGACGCACCCACCACCCAGTCATCGTCTAACGCAGGCCGGGTGTCCTCGAGTACTGCCGCCAAGCCCTCGTCTAGTGGCAAGCCTACGTCGTCCGGTACTACGAAGCCCTCCTCTAGCGGCAAACTGTCGTCGTCAAAAGGGAGAACTAATGAGACACAGTGTAAGCAGACAGGAATGTTGTAGTACGGCAATCACTGACCTGAATCGGTGGTACAGCGCGTACGGATGCCGATGCTCCAGCGTCATCCTCGAGCAAGAGGGCCCGCGATGATGAGGAAGAAGTCGATGCAGATGAACTTGAACGTGAGGGTATGTACACACCTGGTCGCTCTCGCGGCCCCTACAGCTGACACGGCCCAGGTGACGAACCTGTTCCGGAGCCCGATGCTGCCGACACCTGATCGCCTCTGCTCGCCGTCTTCACTGTCTCTACTCCAAGGGTTTGAGAGCCATTTTTACTGCTGAAGTACACGTCTGAAGGCATTTTAGATCACTCATTACTACCACCATACCCACATCCTAGTCCTTGGAGGTAAGAATGACCTATTTTTGTTGTTGCATTCTCTTGTTCTCGTTGCTGTACCATCTGTACTTGTACTACTATACGTTGTTCTGGAGCCTGTTGTGTTCTGCTGTATGTAGATTGTCTGTTGTTGTACCAACTATAGGTGAAAGTGTTTGCAGAGACGTTACCATGCGGTCGATTTGGGTAGGCTGTTCCGGTTTGTCGGGTGTGCCCTGGTTAAGCTGTAACACCTACGACATTCTCAATTAGTATTTTATCAGTTTGAAGTGCCGAAGACTCACCATGTACGTCAAAGCCGCTATAAAATCGGTCTCTGTAGTGGTGTTGTTGGCCACCAGCCGGCGCACAAGCCTGAAATGCTCGGGCAGGATGAGCACGTAGGTTAAGTCCAGGGGGCCATGCATGGCCTGGCAACCCAGGGCCATGGGAGGACAGGCGTAATGGGGCCATCGCGCCCGCACCTTGGCCAGGTTGGCTGTGCTGGCAAGGAGGGCTACAGGGTGTTCAACCTTTTTACGTTGCCGTTGTGGGGCAGGGACGTAGCCCAGCCCCGTAAGGCAACATATAGTACAAGGAAAGGAACGGCACAAGGACCGGCCGTTCATTCAGAGAGCTACGAACGACTACAAGCCCAAGGGTACACTACGAAACAGTGTTCCCTCCGTCGAACATCTCCGGAACGGTGATGTCGATACCTTCCGGGCCTCCAACCGAACTCTCCTCCGGATCAACGTTCCCTCCGGCAGCACCCCCGAAAGCACCTTCTGGTTCGGTGATCAGGCGGACGGAACGGCCCAAGTCGTAGATCTCGCGGACTACAAACCCGACGTTGTTACAGATACGACCGGCAGAGGTCCGCTGCTCGCTCATCAACGCGCCCATCCGAGCATAAAGGGAGTCTTGGTTATCGGAAGCAAGCCGGAGGGAAGATAGGTGGAGTGGAGGGTCTATGAACTGAGGGGGAGATGGCGGGGGAGGCTGTCCGCTGGACGGGTCGGCATGGACCCTGTGAGGGGACCATGCGATGGCAGGATACAAGGCGGTCCCGGTACCGATATCGGAGGGAATGCCCTCAAACACGGCGTCAACGTAGGCGAGCAGAGAGGCCACGGAGGGAACACTGCGGGGGGACGGGAGTGACGCATCGCCGTGGGCCGTAGCCAGGGAGAACGAGTCGAAGAGCATGCGCTAGGTTGAGAGTCAAGCGGCGGAAGGGACAAGCGGGGGCATGCGTACCAGAAGCCAGCGGACGCTGTGACCCCATACGAGCCAGGTCCCGGGCGAGGACATATTGAGGCGTGGCTCGGCGGCCCGTTCATGTCGAAGCACCTCCAGCAGGAGGAAGTACCGGCGGATGTGGACGGTCGCGAGCGGGTTGAGGGGCACGGAGGATGACATGGCACGGAGGAGGGGGAGGATGGGAACCGGTGGGACGAAGTGAGACGGGAGGAGGGCCCGAGAGGAACCGGAGGGAACAGGAGGGTACGGAGAGGGGTGCCAGCGAGGCGGGGGCGTGGGATAGCGAGCCGGAGGGGGCATAAGGGAGGGAGCCGGGGACCGGGCGGGGGAGATCCTACCTACCTACCACCTAGGAGTGGAGAGCGAGCTCAACTGCGATTCCCTGCGTTTCTGACTGCGTCCTGCGTTTACTGCGTTGCGAATAGATCACCGCGTTCACCTTCAACGAGCACCGCATTTCCTTCCGGCTCTCTGCGTTTCATCCGGCTTCAACGAGTTTCTACGCGTTCAGCCCGAGTCCCTGCGTTGTGGGACGATTCCACCACCCTCCTCCGACCGCGCTACAGTGCTGCCTACGAGTATCTGAGCTCGTACGTCCCCTCCGGGACCGAATCGTCACATCCTCTTCCCATCCGCTTGCCAACAGCCCCCACCCGTCGTTTCTACCGACACCATCGATTCCTTCCGGTCTCTTTCCGACCCGGGAGACTCGCAACCTACACAACGTCTCCCAATTGATGGTAACCTCCCCAGGAGTTTTTCCCGGTGCTTTGAACGCATCCTTGAGGGCCCCATGAACTTGCATGACCCCCAGGAATCCTCCTTTTTAACCCGTCTCTGGTGCCCGTGCCTTTCCTCATCCTCTCCCTGATCCCCTTCCCCGTGCTCGCCCTCCCCCTCATTCTCGCCCCCCTCGTCCTCCTCGTCCTCCTCGTCATCCTCGCCCTCATCTTCATGCCCATTCCCGTCCTCATTGTCGCTCTCCTCAGTCTCCGCAGCCGTGGCAGCTGCAGCTGCCGCGCGATCGCGAGCCGCGAGCTTCTGCCACTTCTCCACCACCTTCTGGGTCGGTCTCTTTGGCTAGTGTTTGAAAGTCCGGTCCGGTCCGGTTATTGACGCCCATTATGGAAAGACCGGGACCGGGACCGGTCTCTCATTGGCTGCAACCTCGGCAGACTGCAACTGGACCGACTGTGACCGGTCTTTTCCAGTCCAGTCGCTGGAAATGACCGGTTGCAACTGGTTGAGACTGCATATCAGTCCCAACTGGTCATAACCAGTCCTGACCAGTCTTACCTCAGTTGCAACTGGTTCGATCTCTGCAATGGAAGCTACTCGCAGCCTCTTGCAGGCCCCGTATGTCGCTGACGAATGTGCCGATTGGTAGTATATTGAATGGTAATATATACATGTGTGTCTATATAGGAAGTCGTGGTGTTCACACCAGCAACACACTGCGCTACCGTGCCCTCCTCTTGCGTGATAGGCGACTTCGTTTGACCTCGTGCTCTGGCTCGGGTTCGTAATCGGAAGGTGCATCGGCGTCGGCGTCGGGCAACGGGGAGCAGGACGACGATGGCGAACCAAATGCTGAGGAGGTCGAGGTCGAGCATGAGGGTGGCGCCACAACAGTCGAACCCGCTATTATTGAGGAAGCTGCAGCCGCGTGAGGTGCGGGAGCAACGAGTGGCGGCGGAGGCACAATCTGGTCATCCATGAGCGTGGCATTGTCGTTCAACTTAGCCCTGGGGGAGCCGCATCCAGTGGCGTTGCCGGTTCCAGTGCGGCAGATGCACGCGGCTCGTCTGCAGCATCGGACTCTGCGACTGGTGCATTGTCCTCCACTAGGTCCTCACCCACTTTGCATCGTCTGCGTTCTCGCCGTCGGTGAGTTCGGGTGGCGGGGCACCCTTGTACGATGCAGTGCGAGTATTGGATCCGCTGAATGCACCGTCAAGCTCGCCGTCGTCCTCGTCGACGTCCTCATCGTCGGTACTGTCTTCGTTTTCGAAGTAGCCTTCTGGGAGTGACTACAGCACGCCCGAAGCGTGCGCAGGCAGCCCGTCGTCGTCGTCTTTGCGCTCGTCCGTCGAGCAAGGGTAGAGGCGCGTCGGGCAAGGCTTGAAGTGCATCAAGCAGGGGCTGCGGCGTCTCGAACGAGGGATGCGGCACGTCAAAAGAGAGCTGAGGCGCATCGTCGAGCGAGGGTAGAGGCACATCGAGCTCCGTACTTCGCAGCACGAGGGCTCGAGCGCTGCTTCGGGAACGGTTCGCGCGCGAGAGTTGAGGTGCGTCGAGCGAGAGTTGAGGTGCGTCGAGCGAGAGTTGAGGTGCGTCGAGCGAGAGTTGAGGTGCGTCGAGCGAGGGCTGCGGCGTGTCAAATGAGGGCTGCGGCGTCGAGAGAGGGCTGTGACATGTCGAGCGAGGGTTGAGGTGCGTCGAGCGAGGGCTGCGGCGTGTCTAGAGAGAGCTGAGGCATCGAGAGAGCTAAGGCGGGTCGAAAGAGGCCGAGGTACGGCGTTGAGCGAGGGCTGAGGTGTACAGTGCGACAATGGAGGAGAGGAACACGATGGGAATTAGAGGGATACGATACTCACCGGCCGACAACCTTCCCTACCCCATTCGCGCCTGACGCCCTCTGGTGCGATCCTTCGTGTCTCTTCATGTGCTTCTGCACACGTCGGGATAGCCTGGGCAGCCATTGCGCAGCGTCCATCTGCGCAGCCGGCAGGGCTTCCTGGTGAGGCTTGGTGCGCGTGCTGGCGTAGCCGTCTCGTCATCGCGCTGCGCGCGCGTGTTGGGCTGCTCGTCTTCGAGCAGTGATCCCACTGCCGCCGGGCGTGTGGCAATTCTGCACAGCCCGATACTTGTCTTGAGGGCTGCCCGCGCAGGTGATGCTGTAGCAAGTCGAGTGGCCGGATCGCGAGTCAGGTGGAAAGGGCACTGGGGGAGGATGCGGGGCATAAGTAGAACAAGCGAGGGCGCGGATGAGTGTGAATGAGCATGGCTCGGGGATGTAGCCGTGTCGGGAGCGAGCGGACACGCTGAATGTGCATGCAGAGTAGAGTACGGCGGGGGATGGTGGATAGGAAGACTCACCGCAGTCTGTCCGACTCGCCTCTGCGCCCGACCACTCTCCCTGCCTGTCTGGCTCGCATCCGACAACTGACGGTGGGGCGTTCCGCTGTCCGGCGTGTCGGCTGTAGAGTTCAGTCATATGGAAGGGGGTGACAAGGCGTTGCGGACGTACCTGCGATGCTTTGCACTCTCTTCCACTGTTCCACGATCACATCACCCTCCGCCTCCTGATCCTTTGCGTGGACTTTGGCTGTGTCCTGCAGCGCGACACTGACGTCCTAGGTAGCTTACCAGCTGAGAGTGGGGACGGAGAGAGAGAAGTGTGGTCGAAGGCAAGTCGAAGGAGATGAACCGCGCGGCGCGAGTTAGTGTTCTCGTGCGCCGGCGCCTTCGAGAGCCGCCCTCTACATCTCCTTAGCACTTCGTCAGTGCAATACCACCAGGAATGAACACTCAGGTAATGTGTCTTCACTCAGATTGTGTGAAACAGATTGTTTAGAAAAAACTTGGTATACCTTGTACGCACCGTTCTGGAGATAATTGAATACATTGTATACCAGTGCTATTCATACGAGAAGTCGCCGCCTCACCACTGGCACGGACTAGATGATTGCGAGCTCGTGCATCACGAAGTCATAGACAAACGTCCTCGCATTGCTACAAGTGAGAGGAAACTACTCGCTATCGTCCGGAACCGGTATACCGCATGCCGAATCCAACGCTGCCAACTCCTCGTCATCTACTAGCATATCCGCGAACCCTTGCAACACCTCAACCTCGAGGATCTCCATCTGCGCTGAGTTCCATTTTGCATAGTCGTATATCTCGGGCTTCCAAGCTGACTTCATCATCTGCAGCTCCTCAAAAAGCTCGGCCCCAGTGCGAGCTCGCTTGTCGGTCGCTGTTCCCTTCGCTCCGGAAAAGAGGCGTTTGCAAGGCACGGATGATGCTTGGATAGGGAGTATGTCGAGGGCGAGGAGAGCAAGGGTGGGGTACTCAGATGCATGCTCCTAGTGTAACATGAGTGTAGTGTCGGAAATGGGAGAAATCGAGACTCACAGACCACCACTCCACGAGATCAGTATCCTTCGTCACAGTCTCATGCGCCGCACCAAGGTAGTGTTCAAGCTCGGCCTTCCAACCTTCCACAAACGCTTCCGCAGCTTCCAACTTCTCTCGACGACGACGGTCATATGCAGATTCAGTTGTGGGGGTGCTCCGTGTGCCGCCAGCTTGAGCCGAGCTTCCGGCAGCACCCAAGGCTGTTTCCTCTGCATGTCGTGCCTGTCGTTTCTTGTAGTAATGTTTGACCTAGTACAGCAACATTTGTGTACACTGCTAATGAAAGGACAAAAGAATAACATACGGTGTTTTCGACAATCTTTCGAGCCTCCTGCTTCCAGTTCTTCGCATCGAAATTCCCCGCAGACCATTGTTCCTGCCGCTCCTCCTCGCCGCCCCACTCACTCTCTATGTAGTCAAGCTTGTAGTATGGGTGTAGGACTTGGGGATGACACTATGAGAATGCCATGCACAAATAATACGGCCCTGGGCCAATTAAGTGGACGTACCTAATGCGAGAACGTACACAGGTGATCTGTCGAGCGCACAATAGTACTTGTGCAGCTTCTTGATTGCATTGTCGAGGCCAGGCTTATAGGCTTGAAATTTCGGATTGTCACGCTTGCCTTCCCATCTCGTTAGAAGGTCTTCAAATGCTGGCAGAACTCGCCAAAGTGTTGGCGACTTCTCGTAGGAGAAGAGCTGATGAATGTCGTTCGCATCCTATAATAAGCACATTACTAATCAAAGCGCGTACTACGTCTGCAGGCCTCGCCTTTCACTGACCTTCAAGATATCGACAACGTCTTTGACGTGCTCCCAGTCCTGTTCTTTCAGCTTGAAGGATGACCATGGGATCCGCTTGACAATCTTGCCCTTCGCGCGCAGTGTAGTGATGGGACCAAAGAGGTCGTCTGCTGTATTAATGAACAAATTGATTGCCTACGAAACAGAGTCATCTCGGATGGTGGAACATAGATATTCATGGTGCTCACCGTGCGAAGATCATACCCTCCTTCCATCATACCCGATGACGAGCCCCATCGTGTGTTGTTGTGCAACGGAATTGTAACTGGAATACATTTCGAGTCGATTTGCTTCTGACAGTGTTCGAAATGCTCGATGCGCTGCGACGAGGCTTTGATCTGAATATGAGTAGAGATGATTGTGATTCATTTCCGAAGTGCGAGCACCGAGTGGTGCGAAACATCTCGTACCTTCACAATGAGTGTTTGCAAGAATGCGATGGAATCCAGCTTGCCACCTTGTATACGATTCTCCGTGTCACTTGGGTCATACTCCCAGATTGCAGTGGTCGTCTTGATGGCCGAGGTCTTTGTGACGAATGCCATAAAATCCTTTATGCCGAGCTGCACGATGTGACCCATGCATCTGGTAGTAGACAAGACTCAATGAGCACCCGAGATCTGTCATTCACGGTCAACTAGTTGTGACGGCGTACCCGAGTAGATCTTCGAGTTCATTCCAGAGCAGATCGAGCGCCAAGTGCGACTTTGAGACTGTTGCACCCATAGTGCTGTTGTTGGATGCGTTGTTGGCTGTCACATGCCCAAGCTAGTGGCATGTCGCACGGCGAACCGAAACAAATCAGCAAATCAGGACGTACAGCATAGCCACTTAATGACACACCTTGGACGAGTTCTGTACACCTTTCACTACAATTCCAACCCTCTCTACTGCGCCCATGAAATACATCCCCAAGTTTTTGCCACTGTGCTCGCCAGAGAGACCCTTGAAGGCTATGACTGCAGTACGCAGTTCCCATCGGTGAGTCTTCTCGTCGACTGCAATCCAGTGTGCCGTGATGCCAAGGAAAGCTGCCCGTGTGGTATCTGCAGACCAGCAATCAGTTGTGGTTGATATACGACCGGGCGTACCCTAGCTCGTGTTGTCGATCAGTACTGCATTAGTACACAACCATGGCAGAGCTACATACCTCGAAGTCGTGTCTAAGTTGCTCAATGTGTTTGACGAATGCGTTGTGAATGAAAATCTTGATGTCATGCGTTGTCGGAAGATCTAAGTTGACGGTTTGAGGGCGCATCCCAACTAGGCAATTCCGAAATGACGAGGTCTGTGCGAGTGAAAGTGACTGCAAAGAACCAGTCCGAAGCTTAGTATGAGTTCGAGATCTGGAGTAGCTTGTAGCAAGAACACGTACCTGATCATCGCAGACGATGTGCTTTGCCTCAAGCTCCAAAATTGTCTGGCGTGAGAACTCGCGAGGACCGCCAGTCTTGGACGTGAAGAAGGTGTCGAGTGGCTTCAGCCCTTTCTTGTCGCGGTTGGACTGTTTGAGCTCTGTCAGAACATCACGAGGAATACAGCGATGGTTCGGCTCGATGTTCGCGGCTTCGCAAGCAGTCTTGTAGGCTAACCAGTGCTGTTGGATATGTTGGCGACAGGTAGAGTTGGCACCGAGAAAGAAAGCTTTTCGTAGGCCGTGCTTCTTCACAAATGGTTCGTTATTCCTATAAAACCGATGAATATACAAGACATCAATGATAGACAAATGCACATACTTGCACTCGTTGCACCAGCGGCCTCTAAGAGTGTTGACTGTGCCGTCCGACTGCTTGAACCCGACCTTTGTCCTGTCGGAGAAGATCAATAATAAATCTCGTGTGGCATCCTTCTTCACAGGCAGTGTGCTCGGAGTTGATGAGGCTGCACGGTGTCGATTACCCTTGTCATTCGAACAATAGTTTTATGTCAGACTCGTCAGACACAGTCTTGACTCGGATGCATACCTTGTCTTTCCCGTTTTTGCTGTCTACCTCCGAAACAACATCCAATTCATCCAGCTCCTCGACCTCTTCAGGTTCGACCTCATCATCTGTTATATCAACATGACTCGGATGCTCGTCCTCGGATTCAGTTTCGGATTCAGTATTTGGCTGCTTGCGCTTGCGTGGTCGGCCAGTAGACTTGACTGCTTTGGAGACTCTGGGTATGTCCTCGCCAGATTCCTCACTGGAAGTCCCGTGTGGATGACGAGCTTTATTTGATTGCTTCCGAGGGCGTGTAGTATGGTGCTGGCTAGAAGCTTTGCTCGTTTTCGCTGTCTTTGTACCTTTGGAAGATTTGGTCTTCGAACGATTGCTGGCAGGTGGCATGCAGACCACAGTGACACGATTAGGAACAGTGAGAAGGAACAGCAAGACAACACGAAGACCAACTTGAAAATGCAACTGTATGATATGTGTTGTGCCATAAATGCAATAAAACAAATAAATTAATACATGAGCGGGATAACATATAGTCACTACAAGGATGGATCAGTAACATACTGCATTAGTGGCGAGACACTTCGCAATTGCTATTCTAAGTAAATATAAAAAGACCGGTCCTAACCAGTCCCAACCAGTCTTTTATCAGTCCTTGTGGCTGACACTGAAGTTGAGAGACTGCAACTGGACTGGTCAGGACTGGTCCTTAACAAGCAGTCCAGTCTGGTCTTTTTTTTGTCCAGTCCCTGTCCAGTCCCAGTTTTTTTCCAGTCCTGGAACTGGACTTTCAAACACTACAGCTGCCCGACAACCTCGAGTCCATGGGTCGGGCGATTCACAACATCGCTGTCGACCAGCGCCACACGCACAGCACCCTCGTCGGATTGCTTGAAAGCCTGCTCGAACACGTCAACACCGACCGTGGCTTCGACGCCAGCCTGTCTGTTTGTAGGGGTAGGGGTGGTGGACATGGGTGTGGGAGTCGAGGACATAGATACGAGAGTTGCCAAGGCCGTCACTAGTTAGTTTGACCTAGCCGTGTACTTGTCCGTAGTCCTACCAATGTAGTGACTCTTCTAAACTGCGTAACTTCGCCACTAAGGGTCCCGAACACGGATGCTTGAGCTTCGAACATCGGGTGGTTCCCTCAAACGGATGGGTAGCGCGTCGACTGTACTGACTTAGTATACCGTCGTATCGACCGTAGATCGCGTTTTTGGTGGGTAGGTGAGCTAAGGGCTCATCATCGTCAATCGTAACAAACGCACCATCCTCTCGTGCAGAGGAACTCATCAATCAGATCTTCGGTTGATGAATTCTGCAGGTTGTCTACGGTCCTGATGGGGAAGTGGTCAGATATTCCGTCGGTATCAACAACAACAATCCCAACCGAACCTTCCTCACCCCGTCGGAAGTCCCACCAGCCGTCCTTACTCAAAACCGCGATGCCGCCATCTATCGATATCGTGCCAATCGGGTGTCGATGGACGCTCCTCACGTTGGATCTCTCACAATACTCGCCAAGTTGAATGAGAGTTCTAGCTCGGATGACCAACCGGCAAGCCAACAATCCTCTCCCTGGCACTTCGATAATGATCTCAATGATCTTTACGCGGACGGGAATGACAGTGGAGACAAACAGGATCCTGAAGCTTAGAGGTCAACACGGACGTCGACCATAGGAAGGGGCTTATGTTACCAGGCGCCATGTTACGTACATTTCATTTTCTTTTACTTTGTATCTCTAACCACCTCGCATGCACAGGGACCGGTTATGTACTCTACCGCACCCAGACTACCATGTGATAGCTGACTCTTGCTGACTCCTTTCTCCATCATGATTACCACTTCCTTCGTCAGGGATGACACATCCTGACTCATGCTTACTGTACTATCTGACTCAGATTGTTTCTCTTGTATATATACATGTACAATAGGGGTCGGACTCTTCAGTTCGACCTGGTTAGCAATCAACACTAGCTTTCTCATACTGCTACCGCTTCGGAACTCGACTAGGACAAAGGGACTTGTGTCCTTCCTAGGTCTAAGAAACAGAACTCCTCTCAAAGTTAGTAGCCTTGTAAAGCTTGTGGCTTGTAGTGTTCCACTCGCCCAGCTTTGCGTAACAGGATGTGCACAGGTTGCGGCACATCGGTGGCTGCTCAGAGGCAAGAGTTCAGGCTCTGCCATGGCCGACTTTGGCTGGTGGCTGAAAGTGTGACATCTGCCAGCAGCAGAGATTTCATTCTATAGCTCATTTATCACTGGAATGATGGTCTCAGGGGGTGGTATAGACTCAATACATTGTGCAGAAAATGTTTCATGGAGATACAGTCAGCGCAGCCCGAGATATGCCCAGGGTGCTGACTTCTAGGGGCTGCTGACTGACTGGTCCAAAATAGTATGCCATGATCCATCCCATGCCTGTACACAAACTTTGAACAATGCTAATGTTTCAGTGTTGCCTGCTGGGCCATCCCCCCCAGTGAGACAAGGACAGTCACTATGCAACTCATTGTCTGGCCATGATAATAGTTTCCTTGCAGTCAGTTATGATTCTCGTTGTGCAAGCCCAGCCATAAAGAAGTGCCGGAGAGTTGCAAGTCAACGCAACTTAGGGTGAACATGACGGCGGATCGTTCGCCGACCTGTTAGACGTGTTCACAATCGCTTCGACTGAAGGATCGGACGCCATCGGATACACACCTAATGCACAAGAGTAGTAGGGAATACAGACCGTAGAACGACGTGCGACGACGATGATGAGAAAGTGTTTGATCAGAAGCCCCTCCCTCTGCCCCTCCCCCTTCCACGCCCACGACCGCGCTCGACCCCTCGTCCACGACCGCGGCCTCGCGCCTCGTCCTTTTTCCTGTTCTTCGGTTTCGGGGCGTCATCGACGAGCAAGGTGTCGAGAGGAAGGGCGTCGGGGAGGACGAAGTAGCGAATGTTGTTCCCGCGAATGGAGAGTGAATCCAAGGACGTAGGCTCGCGGTTGCGGGCGGTCATTTTGACGGTCTTGAGATGAGTGTTCATTTGCATGTCCACGCCTGCTCTTGGTTTGAACTGGAGACGAGCGGACGAGAAGGAAAACGCGTACCTGTGATCGTGCCGTGGACGATGGAGCCGTTTTTGAGCTCGACCGTGACCGTCTCATTGTTCAGTTTCATCAGGAATCTATCGCCTTGTCAAACGGGCGGTACCATGCAGGACGCAACACACACCTTACGAGCTTCATGGTGGGGGACGACGACGGGGACGATGAGGGCGGCGGCGACGGGGAGGATCAAGTCAACGCGGTGAGACGCCAGTGCACGTGATGCGGGTCGCGCCGGGAGAAGAGAGAAAAAGCCGGGGAGCCACGCGGGCCGGCAGCGATCGCCCGCAGAGTCAAAGCGCGGCCATAAGTAAAGCGTCGTCGCTGCCGTCGCCTCGTCGCTGCCGCCGTCGTCTTCGTCCCACCCCCGCCCTGCAGCCGTGCCCTGAGCTTAGGCCTCTCGCTGAGGCCGTCACCCGACGCCATCATGCTGCCCAAGGTCGCAAATCATCTACTGCACCACACCGCGCGTGCCATATCCGTCGCGCAGAACCAGACCGGCCACACCATCCGCAATGTCCTCCAATTGCAGTCGTCCTCCACACCGTCCACCGCATCTGGCAACTTCGGCGGCTGGAATGGTGCATCTTCCTCCCACTCGAATTGGAATGGTCGTGGTGCTGGCTCTGGCGGCGCTAAATTTCATCCCGGCGGTCGTTCATATGCTGGATACACGGTGCGTCGTGCAATCATCTTTCGAAGCTGTCCCACTCAACTGAGCTTATCCCTCAGGGTGCTGGCAGGGCTGTGACCCAGGCCGAAACCATCTCTGTGAATGACCTCAGCCAGTCCGCTGGCGATGATTCGGACGATATCCCTCCCGGCCTTCGTCGCGGTGCTCACTCTCCCAAGAGTCATGGTTCTTCCCTACCACCTCGCGCCCGGTCTCGTGCAGGTCTCACCGTCGTCCGGACAGTACAGTCTCACACAAAGTCTAACCGACCCTTTGGCGGACAGGTCGTCGTCGAGACCTCCTCAACCAACGCTGGATTGTCGACACAAGCGACCGCCCTGCTCCTTCACAGGCTATCTGCCCGAGATGTAACCGCTCGCCCGTATTCCACAGCCTCTAACGTTCAGACCGTCAGCGACTACCTCGACGTCGAGTCTCCGCCCTCTTCCTCAGCCAGCTTACAGCATTCGGACGCCTCGTATTCCAGGCCACCCTCTCCAGCTTCATCCTTGCCCACACCACCTCCCGAGGACGTGGAGGAGGCGCCTACCAATGAGACCGCAGATTACAAGGCTTTCGAGCACGCTGCTCAGAACAAGGACGCGCAGAAGGTGCATGACCTCGTTGAGAGCATGCACTCTCGTGCGACTCGACCCTCCGTCCAACTGTACAATGCAGCGCTGTCGTCCTTGCGGGCAGTCCGTTCTCCTCACCAATCGCTACGGTACATCCTCGAGCTCTACAATGCAATGCTGGCTCGCTCTATCGCCCCGAACTTCAAGACGTACACCACTCTTATACAGGCGTTCACGGAGCGCGACCGTGATGTACAGGAGGCATTGCAACGTCTTGAGAGGAATGTACGTTGGCAGACGACACTCGGCGGCACAGAGTCCATTGCAGACCGGAAACGCATCTCGAACCTACGCGCTGAAAACAATCTTCGCCCCGCCATGACGCTATTCCAGACAGCATGTGCTATTCCGCACACGAAAATGCCCCGGGTTATCTACCATGGTCTTCTCGAATCCTGTGCCAATCACGCGAACGTCGACGCCGCTATTCATGTTTTCGCCCACCTCGAACGCCGCAGGGATATTCTTCCTACTGCGCGTACCTTCCACCTACTCATGTCCGTGTACACCGCCCTCGCGGACTGGCAGAGTGCGAAGGACGTATTCGAAGAATTTAGGCAAGCGTGCAAATCTGGAAGAATCGGCGCCGTGCTGGATATTGAAGGCAGCGCGGAGGAAACTCACCGTCTACTGCGCCTCACTCGTATCAACGTCTGGAACGCCATGCTCGAGGCGTATGTACGGAGTGGGCAACACACGGCCGCCCTCGGTTTACTGGAGCAGATGCTTGACACCAAGGCTGGCGAAGCATTCGACGTTGCCGACGTTCCTCCTCCTTCTCCGGGCACTTTCCACCGCCTGATCGCATCGTTCTGTCAATCCGGCGAGATCGGCACGGCTCTGGCGTGGTTCGACAGGCTCTTGCTGCAAGACGTCGCTCCCCGTTCGCCTGACGACGCGTCGGTGAGCCCTTGCAGGCCAAACTCCTCCACGTGGGCGAGCATCATCGAAGCCGTTTGTCTGGATGGCCGAATCGATGACCTCATGAGGGTCATGTCATCCTTCGAGCGGCTTGCTGATCAGGACAACCTGATGCTCCACAGAAACGACATTTACCTGGTACTTCAGACGTACTTCCGCCATCTCTCGCTGCATCCGAACCTCGAGGAAGCTCAGGTCGTCTCGATCACAGATGCAATGTCTACTGTGATTGCACGTTATGGACCTGCAGTTCTTCGGTGTCTGGTGAACGACGACAAACCGCGTGAACTATGCGTTGCCCTTCCGCATCTGCTTTTATCCAAGGGAAGAGCGAAGGAAGCATGCCGCTTGGTGCTCTCCTACGTTGCGTTTGAGGGTCAGGAGCGCGGTGCGCTCTCCGAGGAAGTGACTTCGAGGCGGAAAGCTGTCCGTGACTTGGTACTCGGGTTCTGTCGACGTTGTTGCACGGAGACCGACGGGAAGCTATCCTTGCAGGAGGTGATTGGTCTCGGCAGACTCTTCTGGGTTATACGAGAGGCTATTCCGGCTGATGTGGCAGCATGGAGCCTGCAGGCCTACGCAGCAGCTCGGTCCAACGCTGATGAACTGCGTCATCTGACATTGGACGATTGGACATTCGTGGCCTTTGTTGTCCCCGAAGTCGAAGGCATCGTCGCAGTCGAGGACGTTCTCGGTGATATGGAACGTATAGGCATGAAGTTGACAAGCCTTCCGACGCATAGCCGTATCCGGCTGTTCACCCGACTGCGTGACCAGCGGGACGAGTCCTACGCATCCGAAACCATGCACCGTTATGACCCTGAGGCGGAGCACATCCTCAATTTGGTGGCAAGCAAGGACGCCAACCGCAATAATCTCGTCGAGCTTGCCCCGCCAAGCGAAGATTCTCCTGCCCCTCCGTTGGCCAAGGTGCAACACCCTCACAGCGCATTTGTCTCAGAGTTTTGGCCAATCCCCAATGCACGTATATCTCCAGCCGTCGCCTATCAACGGTTCGAAGCCGGGCGCGCGCGGAACGTCTACCCTTACCCAGTTGTCTTGTCTCGCCTGATAACCACCCTTGGTCGCGATCGCGAGATAGAAAAGGTGCGAACATTGTATGACAGCGCTCAGCTTGTCTTGCAGACATACGAACACAACAAAGAAGAACAGTCGTACGCTTGGTTCCTGGTCGAAGACAGCATGGTCATTGCTCTCGCCCACGGTGGCGAGTTGGACGCCGCTCACGTTCATCGGGCCCGCATCATCGAACACGGGGGAGTGCCCACTGCCGACGCGTATGGTGCACTGATTCACAATGTCAAGGACACGACGGATGACGCTTCCAGCGCCATCGCGCTTTACCGCGAATCGCGCGAGCGTGGTGTTATCCCTAACGTCTTCCTGTACAACACCATGATCTCCAAGCTCGCGAAGGCGCGCAAAGCCGACGATGCCATTGCCCTGTTCAAAGAGATGAAGGCCAGTGCTATCCACCCTTCGTCGGTGACCTACGGCGCAGTCATCGCAGCTTGCTGCCGGGTAGGCGATGTAGCGTCTGCAGAGACGTTGTTCACGGAGATGGCTGCTCAACCTAGCTTCAGGCCACGCGTCCCTCCCTACAATACAATGATGCAGTTGTACACAAGTACGAGGCCCGATCGTGCCCGCGCCCTTCATTATTTCGACCAGCTGGTCGCTGCAAGAGTCAAGCCTAGTGCGCATACGTACAAGGTTAGTTCAGGCTCTCGATCGTCGACGCCGATGCTCATGCTTCCGCATTGTAGCTTTTGTTGGACGCGTACGGTTCCATTGAACCTGTTGATTCAGCTGCCATGGAACGGGTCTTCGGCGAGATCACGTCCGGACGTAAACCGCTCATACAGGGCACCCACTGGGCCTCCTTCATCCATTCCGTCGGATGCGTGCAGAAGGATCTGGACCGCGCTCTCGCTTTGTTCGACTCGGTCGCCTCCCATCCCTCTACGCGTCAGTCGGGCGCCCAGCTGCCGGATGCAGTTGTCTTTGAATCGCTGATCAACGTTTTGGCTGCCCACCGCCGCGTGGACCTCATACCAGGCTACGTGTCGCAGTTGAGGACTTACGGGATTCACATGACGGCCTACATCGCCAATCTGCTCATAAAAGCCTATGCGTCAGCGGGGGACATCGAACGCTCGAGAGAAATCTTCGATAGCCTGGCTGATCCACCTGAAGGCATTGCAGCTCCGCACAACCACGCTCCCCATGATGCACAAAGCAGTGACATCTCACAGGTCCCCGTTGACGCGCCAGTATATCGTGAGGTATGTCAATGAAAGTTGTTTTCTTTAGACTCACGCTGATATAAGGATAGCCCTCGACTTGGGAGGCCATGGTGCGGGCAGAACTGGGTCACCGCAACCGGGATGAGGCCATCGCACTCCTTGACCGAGCGCAGGCAAGGTTCGTCATCACTTGCTCCCGGAGACGGCTCCGAGCTAATTTTAATTGCATTAGACAATTCCCCCCGGCCGTGTTGAATCGTATTAGTGGTATCCTCCTCGACGATTCGGTGTCTCCTTGGGCTGAGCCTGAGTGAGGTGCTGAATGTTGAAAGGGAGCTTGCATTCGGGTTGTGTTCATGTATGCTGCATCTGTCGTCCCATCCATCCATTGTAGCATAGTCAACTGCGCTGATACTGTATCACCTGGCTAATACGGACGAAAAGTACTACGGATTATCCTAGAACATGACGATGTCACGACGGCAAACGATATATATATAAATGCTAATCTAGCCTGTCCGATTTGCGATAAACCCCATGGCCTGCATCAACGTCTGAGCTGAAGAGCCGTCGTGCAAGGAAAACTACGACAAGTATACCGAGAACAATGAAGGACATCGTGCGCCAAGGGTACAGCAGCACAGACGACTCGATGGAAGTCAACTTGCCGTTCAGGTACTGCCACCTACGTCAGATTGAAGGATGATAATATGAGCGAAGAAACATACCCGAGCCATGCGTTCGACGATGTTCTCTGAATGTTTGTAGGGGATCGTTGCTGCCTGTGCGCCTTGGATCGCGGAGAACACGCTGGTGGTCGTGAGCTGGATCTTCGCGCCGTATTGATCCACGTCGTAGTAGACCAAACCCTGCGGTGGACCAAAGGTCACCAACGCCCTCCCGCATACAGCCTATCAAAACACCTACAGAGTGATCCGCAACGACGACCTGGACCTCCTTGTCCGCCTGGATGCCGTACATGCCCTTGAGCCACTTGGCCCACTTGTCCGCGTCCATCCAGACGAACGTCACGCCCGGCCCGCCCTTCGCGTTCCGCCACTGCTTCGCGATGCGCTGGACGTCGGCGGCGGTGGCTTGGAGCTGCGTGGGGGAGCCGCGGCGAGGACGACGAGCGGCTTGTGGGGCGCGTTCATGACGTCCTGGAACGTGTCCGAGTCGAGCGCCATGCTCGTCGGGAGGCGGTTCTTCAGCAACTGTGGGACTTATGAGTGCTGTTGGTGTGATTGCTGGAGAGTGGAGACTTACCCAGTCGACGAGAGCGGCCTTGTCGCTTGCCGACCGTGTTGCGGGGAGTCGGTAGACGGTGGCCGGGACGGCGTCGTGGTCCTTCAGTGCGAGAACCACGGCGGAGTCAGGTTGTACGTTGAAGTGTTCGTACAACTGGGGAGCCGCCGACGTGAAGACTGGGGGCGAGCCAAAGAGAGCCTGAGCGGCTTCTACGACGTCATTCTACTCAAGATATAAGTACGACGCTGAGGATAATAAATGAACGAGCTTACAACTACGGCGCCGTCAGAATAGGGATGAAGCAGAAGATACAGTACGGGATACTCCTCGATACGCGCGCTGAGGTCCTGATAGAACAGCTCCTGAATCGGCCTACGAGCGATTGGGATGAGAAGATATGCTGATCAAATACAACGGAGAACGCACGGTCCTGAAACCTTCTCCGCAAAGGCTTTCAGCTGCTCGAGCTTGCGCCCGCTAGTATACTCAACCTTGCCTGCGCCCTTGCCTCCGTAGTATATGAGCTGCGGGAAGCCTGGTACGCCCTCCGCTCGGCATAGCGAATCATGCGCTTCGCAGTTGACTTCAGCGATGGCGAGCTTGTGCTGCATCTTCTCTGCGAGCTGCGCCCAGATAGGCGCCAATTTTTTGCAGTGCCCACACCTTGAGTGCGACGGCTCGTTAGAGTGTAACCGAGGATCGCTGTCGAGAACATACCAGGGCGCGTAAAACTTGACGAATACGTGACCTTCGTCCACCGCGCTTTGGAAGGTCTTGTCGTCGAGAGCGAGCACCTTCCCATCCGGGTTGAGGTCCTTCACAGGAACAGTAGGCTTGTACGTATCCCTGTACTCTTGCACTTTGAGCTGGGGTACAGGGTCGGGTACAGCAGTAACGACCGGAACCTCGGTCGTCTCAGGCAGCGCCGGTAGCGAAGTCGGCTCCGCGTGCTCGGAGAGGTATGATGTGAGAATGTCGTAGGATCTTGGCTGCCGGTACATTTCGACGAACGCGCCATCGCGGTAAAGATTCATTTGAGGGTACCCGTCGACGCCATGAGCTTTGCAGAGGTCTGCGCGAGATGAGACAGCGTCTCGCGCTCGCATGTGTGGTGCACTCACCACCGTGGACAGCGCAGTTCACCTGCGCGAGGTGAATGCCCGGGTCGGACATGTTCGCGTTCTCTTGGACGAGCTGCTTCCATGTGGGCATGAAGTTGCGGCAGTGGCCACAGTACGGCGAGAAGTGCTCGACGAACCTGTCCGCAGCGCACGTAAAGTCATTGCTAGCACCTTTGAGGCTCCTGCTACGTACCATACCCCATGTGCGACCGTCTTGTCGAAGTCGTCGGGAGTGAGCACGAGCAGTTCTACCTCGTCCGAGCTGACCGGAAGCGCGGCGATGGCGAGGGTGAGTGATGCGAGGAGCAGCGAGGACGGCAGCCGGAGAAGGTTCGCAAGCCGCATTGTGGGCGACGAGACCAGCGTCGGGCGAACACTGAAATAGCAGTAGGCAAGAGACTTAGAGAGGTGAGCGGAGAAGACAAGAAACACGGCGGTGAAACGCGCGGAGACAGGCCGAGCGCAGCCACCGCCAGATGGAGATGGACTCCTTTCTCTACCCCCATCTCCCCGCCCGCGTCGCCCGCGTCCACCTCGCCCTCTTCGACCATGTCTCCAACGCTGCGCACATCAGAGAGCGCATCGTCCGCGCAAGTCAGCTGGAGGGCCCCGAAGGTGACCGCGAGCGCGAGGCCGTCAACTTCGCGTTCATCGACGCCCGTCTGGTCGGTTGACTGCTCCCATCTGGCTCTGTCCGTATCTAACAGATGTGACACTACAGATTACCAGCATGCTGCATCTGCAGACTGCGATCTACCAAGCCATCCTGGCTGAGGTCCAAGGTGCTCTCCGCACGAAGACTGTACACTCCGAGATCCTCTGGGCACTCAGTCCCAACAACAATGTGTGACTCGCACGCCCTATTCTCCTGGTCGACCTTCCGCTCAGATGAAATGGCATGACATAGATCACTGAAGCTATCAGGCGTTTCGGAGTCTCGGACAACACCACCGCCCTCATCGTTGTCCGCGTAGGCCCCTCTGGGGTAACGGACATCGAGGATCGCACGAAAGCGGTCGTTACAGGCGACCTCCTCCCTCTCTCGGACCTCACTAAGCTCACTGACTGGGCAACTGTCAGGAAGGTGCGTTCTTCGAAATGTCACTGTTCGTCGCGTTAACATGTCTACCCCGCAGTACTACAAGCTGAATGCCGACCCTGCGCTGAAGGCACCAGGCATGACCCCTGCACAGCAGCAACTGGCTGCGGACGAGATCGTCGTGAGCACGGTGGCCATGAAGAGCGTAGCTACCTAAATACCGTACCGTGGGCTGTCTTCGTGGGTGAATTGTAGGATGTACGCAGCTTTGTAGCAATAGCCCAACCCCCAATGTAGAATATCCCTATGCATGGCCTTCGACAATACTAAGATTTCAAGATGTAAGAGACGATCGAGACGTCAGGCTAGGCTGCGAACGAGATCGCCTCGGTCACGGCTCGCGCGCCTGTCTCGTGTATATGACCTTCCTCCAGCGCGTCGGCCGCTTCTCCAACCGTTCCGACACCATCCGCGCAGACATACCACAGATTCGTCTAGCATCCTGAGGGTGTCTCGCCGTGCAAGCCAAGATGTCAAGAGCTCTGAGAGTAGCACGCTCACTTCGGACTGCCGCTGCACGTCCTGCCCGCTACCCATGTTCGCGCCTGGAACTCAAGCCACCATGCGCGAGACATTACTCACAGCCGACGCAACAGACCTCTCAGGAGAGAGGGATAGGTCCGCGGTCGGGGTGAGTGCTTCACCTGTCAGCCTTGAATTATAGCCGCACAGCTCAAAACCAGGTCTTCACGCCAAAAGCTGCAGCTCTGTTCGTAGCGACTGGCGTCGGCCTCTACTTATACTTCAGATACGAGAAGCAGAAGTTGCAGGAGCAAAACGTGTGTCCCAGTTCACGCCTCCTCAGACATCCCTCACCAGGGTACGTTCACTAGAGAAAGAGCAAGAAGACAAGCAGGTCGGACGG